CTAATAAAATAAATTTAATAATAATGACACTCGGTAAAAAGCACACACACACACAATTATCTTATGAATTTAACAATCTCAAATGTAAGCTCTAAAACGATAATAAATTTACAACTGAAAAATACAATAAAATCATTTATTAATCAATCCAAATAATAATGATTGAACAATTTTATAAGGCTTACGTAAAATACCAAAAATGTTAACAAATTATTTTCGTTTAGAATTCAATGTTCAGAAGGAATCGATTCATAAGCATCGAACATAAGCATATAGTATATGTTTTATTAGCAAAATAAAAGCGTTAGAGCCGGCGTTATCAAACGATAATACCATCATAATTGTTTGAGTATCTTTTTTACAAAAATATAATTTTAAAGGATGCATGAAATAAATTGTGGCCGTGAGAATCGAATAATTCCTTATGTAAAGTAACGAGACATGACTTCTGAAAATCATTACATTGTAATATTATCGTTTTTTCATCTTATGAATATATTCGACAGGGTAACTTTCAATATTTCGAATAGTTGGGGATACAACATAAATGGATCTTGGGATGGAATGATCGGGATGCTGCAACGACGTGAGATTGACATTGGCGGCACCAGTGCGTTTATGCTGGCAGAGCGCTTCCCTATAGTGGAATACATTCAACTGTACACACGTACTAGGTAAAGTTACATTTAAAATCCAACCAGTCGAATTTTAGTTGATATATTACATTACGACTGCATTATTATAAATAAATAAAGAGATCATTCCTGCATCAAAAGTATCGACCTTTGAAATCCTTGTGACATCAGAGTTTATATCTATAATATTATTCAAACTACATCATTTGCAAAAGAAAGTCGCAAAAGTGTTATATTCGCATTTATAGAATTTACTTTTAGCTGATTTTAAATACAAGTCTTAAATACATATATAAATTATAAGTTTTTGCTTATTTGAATATCTTCGAAAAATAAAACGTGTTTTTATATTAATATTAATAAAACAACGCAACATTTAGTTTTTGAGAAATAAGTAAATGTTTCTTTAAAATATACCTGTGTCGGGTATCGGCAAATTTTTTTAATTGTATAATTTTCGAGAATCAAAGTATTAAACTTTTCAAACTTGGGAATTCCAAAACTTCGAAGATTTTAATGCGATTCAAAACTTTGAATTTTCAAATTTTCAAAACAATATTTTAATCTTTGAAGAATCAAAAATAAATAATTAGAAAAAGACTGAAGAAATATTCGAAGCCTTCAAAGCAAATCACCAGCCCTATAATATTGTTACCATTATTGCTCAATCCTATATTTCTGTTGGCTCTTTATTTATATTCATAATGTATTTCCTATATCGTATCTCTATTTCTTATTATTATTATGTCGGAGATATATACACATTACTAATGATGACACAACGCATAAATTTTGTGCAGTTTTCGTTTCGTGTTCCGACGACCCTTATTGTCGACTATAAAAAATATCTTTACCTTGCCTTTTCATCGAAACGTCTGGATAGCGATCGCCATATTTCTTGTACTTGTCTTCTGCTTGTTATACGTATCTATGAAATGGGATCACTACCGAGGTACTTCGAAAAACTCGGCA